ACACAACCAACAATGACAAACAACAACAACAACAAGAGCAACACAACAACAACAAGCCACAACAACAACAACAACAAGACAACAACAACAAGAGCCACAACAACAACAAGAGCCACAACAACAACAAGAGCCACAACAACAACAAGAGCCACAACAACAACAAGAGCCACAACAACAACAAGAGCCACAACAACAACAAGAGCCACAACAACAACAAGAGCCACAACAACAACAAGAGCCACAACAACAACAAGAGCCACAACAACAACAAGAGCAACACAACAACAACAAGAACAACAACAACAACAACAACAAGAGCCACAACAACAAGAACCACAACAACAACAAGAGCCACAACAACAACAAGAGCCCACAACAACAACAAGAGCCACAACAACAACAAGAGCCACAACAACAACAAGAGCCACACAACAACAAGCCACAACCACAACAAGAACAACAACAACAAGAGCCACAACAACAACAACAAGAGCCACAACAACAACAAGAGCAACACAACCAACAACAACAACAAGAGCCAACAACAACAACAAGAGCCACAACAACAACAAGAGCCACAACAACAAGAAGACCAACAACAACAACAAGAGCCACAACAACAACAACCAGAGCAACAACAACAACAAGAGCCACAACAACAACAAGAGCCACAACAACAACAACAGCCAACAACAACAACCACAACAACAACAAGAGCCACAACAACAACAAGAGCCACAACAACAACAAGAGCCAAGACAACAACAACAACAACAACAAGAGCCCACAACAACAACAAGAGCCACAACAACAACAAGAGAGCCACAACAACAACAAGAGCCACAACAACAACAAGAGCCCACAACAACAACAACAACAACCAAGAGCCACAACAACAACAAGAGCCACAACAACAACAAGAGCCACAACAACAACAACAAGAGCCACAACAAACAACAAGAGCAACACAACAACACACAAGAACCACAACAACAACAAGAGCCACAACAACAACAACAAGAGCCACAACAACAACAAGCCACAACAACAACACAACAACAACAAGAGCCACAACAACAACAAGAGCCACAACAACAACAAGAGCCACAACAACAACAAGAGCCACAACAACAACAAGAGCCACAACAACAACAAGAGCCACAACAACAACAAGAGCCACAACAACAACAAGAGCCACAACAACAACAAGAGCCACAACAACAACAAGAGCCACAACAACAACAACAAGACAACAACAACAACAAGAGCCACAACAACAACAAGAGCCACAACAACAACAAGAAGAGCCACAACAACAACAAGAGCCACAACAACAACAAGAGCCACAACAACAACAACAAGAGCCACAACAACAACAAGAGCCACAACAACAACAAGAGCCACAACAACAACAAGAGCCACAACAACAACAATCCACAACAACAACAAGAGCCACAACAACAAAGAACCACAACAACAAGAGCCCACACACAACAACAACAAGATACCACAACAGCAACAGCAATACCACAAGAGCCCCAGCAAGAGACCCCCCCCCCCCCCCCCCCCCCCCCCCCCCCCCCCCCCCCCGAGTACAGATGCAGCACAAGCCAGTATTGCTTGGCCAATCAGGTGTTAACTGGACTCCGCTACGAGAGTTGCATCCCAGTTTAGGTTCGTGGATTAGATTAAGAGAGTGTTGAGGAGGGGAGGTCAGCCCTGCTGTCTGGAACACCTGCTCGGACTGGTGTTGACGGTGTTGGAATGAGGAACATGTGTAATGTTAGTTTGACCGAGACTGTATCAGACGGTTTTAGAGAGGTGTCTACTCTCTTGCTGGTTTATGGGTTCGGGGATCCTGTGGTTATAATGCCCGGGGAGCAGAGCTGCAGCTAGTGTGATCATTCGTTATAGTTTGGGGTCTGCTTACTGCAACTGGGTTCCCATTCTCTTCAACATCTCACACACACTGCGCTACCTCACACACACACACACACACACACACACACACACACACACACACACACACACACACACACACACACACACACACACACACACACACACACACACACACACACACACACACACACACACACACACACACACACACACACACACACACACACACGCACACACACACACACAGGTTGCGTGAACAGGTAGCGGAGATGGTCAGAGAAGTGGCTACTGGATTTCAACACGAGCAAATGTAAAGTTATGGAAATGGGACTAGGAGATAGGAGACCAAAGGGACAGTACACAATGAAGGGGAACACCCTACCTGTGACGACGCGCGAAAGAGACCTGGGTGTGTACGTAACATCTAATCTATCTCCAGAGGCACATATAAATAGGATAACGACACCAGCGTACTCTACACTGGCAAAAGTTAGAACATCATTCAGAAACCTAAGTAAGGAGGCATTTAGGGCGCTTTACACTGCGTACGTGAGGCCAGTCTTAGAGTATGCCGCCTCATCATGGAGTCCCCGTCTGAAGAAGCATATAATGAAACTGGAAAAGGTTCAGAGGTTTGCAACGAGACTCGTCCCAGAGTTACGAGGGATGGGGTATGAGGAGCGCCTGAGGGAACTGTGCTTTACGACACTAGAAAGAAGAAGGGAGAGGAGGGACATGATAGGAACGTATAAAATACTCAGGGGGATTGACAGAGTGGACATAGACGAAATGTTCACACGGAATAGTAACAGAACGAGAGGACATGGATAGAAGCTGGAAACTCAGATGAGTCACAGAGATGTTAGGAAGTTTTCTTTTAGCGTGAGAGTAGTGGGAAAATGGAATGCACTTCAGGAACAGGTTGTGGAAGCAAATACTATTCATAATTTTAAAACCAGGTATGATAGGGAAATGGGACCATAGTCATTGTTGTAAACAACCCATGCTCGAAAGGCGGGATCCAAGAGTCAATGCTCGATCCTGCAGACACAAATAGGTGAGTACAAATAGGTGAGTACACACTCACCTATAGGTTCACCATCACCCCTACAGGCTCACCATCACCCCTACAGGCTCACCATCACCCCCTACAGGCTCACCATCCCCCCTACAGATTCACCATCATACCTACAGGCTCACTATCCTCCCCCTACAGGCTCACCATCACCCCTACAGGCTCACCATCACACCTACAGGCTCACCATCACCCCTAGAGGCTCACCATCACCCCTACAGGTTCACCATCACCCCTACAGGCTCACCATCACCCCTACAGGTTCACCATCACACCTACAGGTTCACCATCACACCTACAGGCTCACCATCACCCCAACAGGCTCACCATCACTTCTACAGGTTCACCATCACCCCTACAGGCTCACCATCACTTCTACAGGTTCACCATCACTTCTACAGGTTCACCATCACCTCTACAGGCTCACCATCACCCCTACAGGCTCACCATCACCCCTACAGCCTCACCATCACCCCTACAGCCTCACCATCACCCCTGCAGCCTCACCATCACCTCTACAGGCTCACCATCCCCCCTACAGGCTCACCATCACCCCTACAGTCTCACCATCACCCCTACAGGCTCACCATCACCCCCTACAGGCTCATCATCATCATCCCCCTACAGGCTCACCATCACCCCGACAGGCTCACCATCATCCCCTTACAGGCTCACCATCATCCCCTTACAGGCTCACCATCACCCCGACAGGCTCACCATCATCCCCTACAGGCTCACCATCACCCCTACAGGCTCACCTTCACCCCTACAGGCTCACCATCATCCCCCTACAGGTTCACCATCACCCCTACAGGCTCACCATCACCCCGACAGGCTCACCATCATCCCCCTACAGGCTCACCATCATCCCCCTACAGGTTCACCATCACCCCTACAGGCTCACCATCACCCCTACAGGCTCACCATCACCCCTACAGGCTCACCATCCCCTCTACAGGCTCACCATCACCCCTACAGGCTCACCATCCCCCCTACAGGCTCACGATCACCCCTACAGGCTCACCATCACCCCTACAGGCTCACCATCCCCCCTACAGGCTCACGATCACCCCGACAGGCTCACCATCACCCCTATAGCCTCACCATCACCCCTACAGGCTCACCATCACCCCTACAGGCTCACCATCACCCCCTACAGGCTCACCATCATCCCCCTACAGGCTCACCATCACCCCGACAGGCTCACCATCATCCCCTTACAGGCTCACCATCATCCCCTTACAGGCTCACCATCACCCCGACAGGCTCACCATCATCCCCTACAGGCTCACCATCACCCCTACAGGCTCACCTTCACCCTACAGGCTCACCATCATCCCCCTACAGGTTCACCATCACCCCTACAGGCTCACCATCACCCCGACAGGCTCACCATCATCCCCCTACAGGCTCACCATCATCCCCCTACAGGTTCACCATCACCCCTACAGGCTCACCATCACCCCTACAGGCTCACCATCACCCCTAAAGGCTCACCATCCCCTCTACAGGCTCACCATCACCCCTACAGGCTCACCATCCCCCCTACAGGCTCACGATCACCCCTACAGGCTCACCATCACCCCTACAGGCTCACCATCCCCCCTACAGGCTCACCATCACCCCTACAGGCTCACCATCCCCCCTACAGGCTCACGATCACCCCTACAGGCTCACCATCACCCCTATAGCTTCACCATCACCCCTACAGGCTCACCATCACCCCTACAGGCTCACCATCACCCCTATAGCCTCACCATCACCCCTATAGCCTCACCATCACCCTACAGGCTCACCATCACCCCTATAGCCTCACCATCACCCCTATAGCCTCACCATCACCCCTATAGCCTCACCATCACCCCTACAGGCTCACCATCACCCCTATAGCCTCACATCACCCCTATAGCCTCACCATCACCTTGAGAGTCAGCCTTACCTCCCCCACCAGGACCCCCCTTAACCCCCCCCCCCCTTATCTCTCCAGACTGTCTCTCAGTAATCACAAATGCAGCTTTGACTCCCCCCTCCCCCCCCCCCGTCTCTGGGGCTCAATTATTGTAATGAATTGCTCGTTATCGCCCCAATTTCCCTTCGATTTTGCGCCTGCAGAACCACCGGTCCAAAATATGTGGGTGTGATGGGGTGGGATGGAAGGGGCGAGGGTGTGGGCGGTGTGGTGGGGTGTTGGGTGGGATGGGAAGTGGTTTGATGGGAGAGGGTTGAAAGGCGTGTTGGTGAGAGGAAGAGTAAGGGTCACGAAGAGAAGATTATAGAGAAGAGCGAATGAAAGAGACGGGTTAATGGGGGGTCGTAATCAGTAGGGGAAGGGGCAGTGAGGCGGAATAGGGAACGCGTAGTGAAGGGGAGGGGGGCATGGGGCCGGGGGGGGATGGGGCCGGGGGGGGGATGGGGCCGGGGGGGGATGGGGCCGGGGGGGGGCATGGGGCCGGGGGGGGGGGGCATGGGGCCGGGGGTGGGGGGGATGGGGAAGGGGTGAGAGCAAAAATCAGAGATGATTGAAAGCCTGCAGACGGCGCTGGAAGATGTAAAGAACCTCATCTGGCAGGAGCAGAAGAGAAGATTATAGCCGGTGGTAGTGAGGTCTGGCGGCCACCTGTCGCTGACAGCCGCGGCCAATAAGGGCGCACAGTTGTAATAATGAGCCAATCGCAGGCATCAGGGAGAGGCAAGGATTGGAACATACCATCAGCCTTAATATAACACAAATAGATCATCGTTGGCAGCATGCATGAAGCTGTGAATCGCACGAACGCACTTTAAAACCCTAAACAGGGACTCTCATAGAACACAATACAACACCTATGTGAGAGGAGTGCTATAATATGCAGCGCAGGCAAGACACCACGTGTTGTGTGGAGAAGAATATGGAGAGAGAGAGAGAGCTGCTCAATATCCAGGAAGGTTGGTGGCAGATAGTAAAGAACGGTGGTGAAGACTGACTCAGGAAGCAGTGTAGCGACACGAGGCCTCAGACGGACCAGAGCACCAGAGGACCAGAGGACCAGAGGACCAGAGGACCAGAGGACCAGAGGACCAGAGGACTAGAGGACCAGAGGACCAGAGGACCAGAGGACCAGAGGACCAGAGGACCAGAGGACCAGAGGACCAGAGGACCAGAGGACCAGAGGACCAGAAGACCAGAGGACCAGAGGACCAGAGGACCAGAGGACCAGAGGACCAGAGGACCAGAGGACCAGAGCTGATCACATCCTGCACAAGAACGCGGCCAAGTGACCACGTCAACACAGACAAGCCTTCACAGATGATGCCAAGTAAAGGACGGACAACACCTCGGCTGAAATAGGAAACACAAACTGAAAACACTTCACCTTTCCTTCGTCCACTCCCATCCACCTTCCAGGGTCAATCCTGTGTCAACTCTCCCGCCGGGTCCTCGTCCGCCTCCTCCCACACCTGCACCGTGTTCCATCCTCCTCACACCACATCTCCACCTCTCCATCCCCACACACACATTACACAGAACGTTTTCAGTGTCAGAGTAGTTAGTAAATGGAATGCATTAGGCAGTAATGTGGTGGAGGCAGACTCCATACACAGTTTCAAGTGTAGAAGATATGATAGAGCCCAGTAGGCTCAGGAACCTGTACACCTGTTGATTGACGGTTGAGAGGCGGGACCAAAGAGCCAGAGCTCAACCTTCGCAAGCACATCTAGATGAGTTCCACCTCTCCTCCTGCAAGTCACCCAACCCTCCCAACCTCACCCCTTTCCTCTCCTCCTCTTCCTTTCCGTCATCTTCACCGTGGACAAAGACAGCCTCTTTAAGAGGAGACAGAAGAGGACTATAGTGTTTTACTGGCTATTCAGGCCGGTGGCACCTCTTGGCTGGCTTAATCTTCATCAGTGACGCGACTAGTGCTCATTAGTGTGAGCTGACGACCAAGTGCTCATAGTTCCCACTAGTACACCAGTGACGCGACCAAGTGCTCATAGTTACCACTAGTACACCAGTGACGCGACCAAGTGCTCATAGTTACCACTAGTACACCAGTGACGCGACCAAGTGCTCATAGTTACCACTAGTACACCAGTGACGCGACCAAGTGCTCATAGTTACCACTAGTACAACACACTAACATAACGCCGCCTGGCTACTACCTCCATATCACACACCCTCAACGTCACCCCAGTGCTAGCTAAGCATTCCTGGCTAAGCAAAGCTAACTTAGCAGTGCTAAGCGGTGCTAACTAAGCAGAGCTAACTAAGCAGTGTTAACTAAGCAGTGCTAACTAAGCAGTGCTAACTAAGCAGTGCTAACTAAGCAGAGCTAACTAAGCAGTGTTAACTAAGCAGTGTTAACTAAGCGGTGCTAACTATGCAGCGCTAACTAACCCGAGCTAAATAAGCAGAGTAACTAAGCACTGATAGCTAAGTAGTTCTCGGGGGAGGGGACGGAGGTGTCGTCGTCGCGCTCCGTTAAAACACTGGAATAAACCGGGCTTTTTTAGGATTACAACCATGGATTACGGCCCACAGTGATCACCAAGTGCATAGTGACCCGTAGGAAAGTTGAATACAGAAATTAACAATGGAACTTTGAGTTAAATACAGATTAAACGTGGGACCACGTGGTGAGCCAGGGCCACCAGGCTCATGTGTACAGGCATAAGCGATATATATCAAATATAGCGAGCAGTGATACGTTGAACAGTGAAGTGGAACGTGTAACACAACATATAAATTAGTGGATAGTGTTAGAGAATTGTACATGAAAAAGTATAAATGTAAAGTTGTGGAGGAGGCATCACACTAGGCTGTTTACACCACAGCCACGAGGCCTACACAGTGTAGGGGACGTCCCTCAGTAACAGTATACTCCCTCAGTGATAATATACTGGCAATATATACTGTAATACGGGAAAGTGGATCTAGGAACTAGTAATAGAGTAAGTGAATAACATTACAAGCCGGAAGAAAGCAGAAATTCCCTTAGGATATTACAGGCAAATAATCAGTGTATAAATCAAGTAACTGGCAACCGGTGGCATCCTGCCCCCGACCTGGGACAAACAACGGTCAACTAGACGGTCCCAAGAGGACCATATTTTCTCCACAAGGCGATAAGTACCCCCACACAAACTTGAACAAATAAACATATTTAATATTATAAATATACTGTATAAATATTATATATACATACATATAATATTATATATATATGCATATAATATTATAACATCACAAACCCAACATGGAGGTGTGTGGAGGCTGCCTTAAGTCAATTTGGAACACTGTTGTAGGCATTGTATGTAACATTTGTAACATAAGATTTCACCTGAGTTGTACAGGATTACCTACACAATATGCAAACCGGGAAGGTAACTACTGGATCTGTCAAAGAGACAGTCAGATGTGGGAAAACATTATCAAACTAATGAATAACATTCCTGAAGTACACAGGCTACAATTCACACAAAAACTACCAGAAATATATGCAGAGTATATAAAGACAGCAACGAACTCTGAACACAACCCAGGGACTGAGAATTTAGAGAGTCAAAGTAGCAATGTAGAAGGGCATAATGTCGAGGTACACAATAATGAAGGCAATATTGTAGAGCAAACTGGTGATATGAATAAGGAGGAAAAAAATGAGATGAATGAGAACACAAATGAGAAAGACGAAAGCAACAAGGAGAAAGATAAGGGGAATACCGAGAATGAATGCAGAAACGAGAAAGTTGGAAAAAAAAGCACAGAGGTAGCCAAGTCGTGCACAGGTACAAACAAGAATAATACAATCACAGATGTAAATATTTGCAGATATTATGCAAAAGGACAGTGCAGATATGGGCCCAGAGGCACGGAATGCTCATTCATGCACCCACGGAAATGCCGAAACAGGTTAGGGAAAGGCAGATGTCGTTTTGATACAGAATGTAGATATTTTCACCCTGAGCTATGCAAAATCTCAGTTAATGAGACGAAATGCTACGATCTTCATTGCCCCGATTTCCACGTCAGAGGTACACAGCGCTATATAAGAGAGGAAGTCCAATATAATAGCCCTGAAATTTTTTAGAGGCAGGCAGAAACAGAGGGAGAAATAGACAGGCAGAAACGTGGCAGAAGTACGGATGGAGAGGGGGGAAATGCCCTAGACTGGACTACGGTTCGTCATCAAGCCCACACATACTACACCCCCCAACTACACAGAGACTACCACACTCCCCAGTATCACTTCCAAAACTGGACAAACCATTGCCACAACAACACACCCTGGGTCAGGGTAGAGAGGAGGGAGAACTACCAAAACCTTCCAGAAGTGACACACAATATGGACAATCATTCATATTTGCAAACATTCAAGGTTTAAAGCCAAAGTCAAGAAATAAAGTTAAGTTCATAAATGGCCTCCTATTAGAGTCAAACTCAATATTTGGGGCATTCACGGAAACTCATACAAAAGATTACATGGATGGTGAAATCTGGATTCCAAATTA